TGAGAAAGCGAAGGCTATTGGCGACAAGCTACTTGATGAATTAAAGTAGTTGACTCAGATAACACTCAAATACATGTATTCCCATTCAGTTTGTGCACTGCCAGCTCCAACAACACTCCAAAAGATAGGTCTGGAAACATGTTTGCGCTGTCCACGTCAGAAGCCAAGGCGTAACTGTTTTCCTCTTCTTCTTCGATCCGAGACAGTAGCTCTATCTGCAGTTTAAGTATGCTCTCTAGGTTCGTGCCAATCTGCTCCAGCTTGTTCTTCATGTCCATGAGCTCGCTAACTCGTGCGCGCAGCAACTCACGTGCCAGCGATCTTCCGTCCATTGGTGGGTGCTCTTGGATCTTCTTGAAAAACACTAAGTCTAGAAAATGTAAGCCACATACAGTGATGTACAACACACATTAATGTGTGCCGACTCTATTTAATGTATGGTACTAATCTCTATTTTTAGACATTTAAAGTGACGAAGGTGACGTGGCCACGAAATATATGGTGGAAACGATGATGGCGGCGACGTGTCACCGTCATTTATTTTAAATTCCCACAAAAAACATATGTTGTGGGGTTGCTTTTGACGATATGGTTGCACTATTTCGTGTTGTGTTGTCGTACTATGGTTGCGGTAACGCCTCTCCGTGCACTGTACTTATAAGTACCATGTGTTATTAATAATGGTAAAATAACAAATATTTGCCTCCTCATGCGGCGGAGCATTGACTCAATGCTCCTTTGCCGAAGCGGGCAACTAAACAGATATTTCATATTTAGTTATATCCAGTAGGGGTCCCAACGTTACTACTTAACCTCAACTTCAATTTTGAGGTTAATCATAGGTTGAGGTTAGCAATCAACGGTTATTAACCTCACAACCACTCATGTGGTCCACAAAACCGTAAAATGGAACTCTGTGAGGAGGAAGGCGCAGACGACCTGAATCTACGCTGTTTGAATTGATCAGTTAAATGACACCGTGTCGAGTGCGTAAAAAAACTTGTGGAAATCGAGGTCACCTGCCCCATGTATATTCATTGAAGACGATGTAGACCCTGGCGTCACACGATATGAATGAGTTGTTTGGATTATTTCCTCAAGAGCGGTCTCATTATGATTCTCTTCCAGTAGTTTCGTGGTCCGGTTACGCTGTGAAGGACAGCTTGCTGCTGCTGCACTTCACATATTCGTTGTGGAGTGGCGATAAGGACGATTATCAATTCAGTTATTCGCTTGGCGTTCTACATCCTACTCTTAAGCTCGGATGAGATCAGCCTAGTGACGCAGTTTACGAGTGAAGCGCTTTACGTTAGATGATCCGGCTGAATTCTTGGATTCTACAAGTGACATCTACTGAAAATGGTTTTCGTTCTGCTCGGACTGGGCAATGTTACTGCTAATTGGTACGAACACACCCAATTCTTGGCAGCTCTCAGTAGTGGAGACTTGCTTACGGATGAAACTTCGCTCTACAGGAAGATGTCATCGTACGTTTAGTACATCGGTGTACGCGAAATGGTCAGCCACTGGCACCCCTCAGCATTTCTCTTATCTGGCCGGTGAGAACATTGTCTCTGGAAGTGGCGTCGATCAGTAAGAAGGAAACCATGGAGGATAGCAACAACAAACGCGTAGAGAGCTCTATGACAAACAGGATTTCTTCGTACAACTGCAGTTCGATCATTTGCTCAAAGCGCTTACCGATTGACTGAAATACAAGCTAAGTATTCACATGGACATTTGCCTGCAGTACCTCGCTGGTTTTCTGCGATGAAAACGAGATCGCGCGCAAGACTTGGATCGAGTTGACTGCGCTTAGTAGTCACCGTGTTGCCAGCGGTCGAGAATGCTCGCTCTGACGGAACGGAGGTGGCAACACACCCGAGCCACTTCCGTGCGAGAGGGCTCAGTACTGGATACTTTCGGCGATTAACAGACCACCACTTTAGCGGATTCTGCTTTCTTTCCACCGACTTCGCGTCGTCAAGATATTGCTCGAACTCTGTCTTGCATCTTGTTCGAGTCCGTTGGAAGCCTGAAGACGCATCGCGAACGTCGCCACAGTGGTCGTCACCGAGGACATCATCCCAGACATCAGCTGTGCTATCACTTGGTGATCGAAGTGGGGCGGCGACAGGAGCGCCGGATGAACTGGTTGACTGTTGTCCAGCTTGCTCTTCCACGACAGTAACTGCAGCATCAATCAGGCATCGTTTTGCCAAGCGCACTTCAGAAGTTTGAAGAAGCTTCATTTTGTGAAACCTTGGGTCCAAGTATGTTATCCACAGGAGATTCGTGTCCAAAGAAGAAAATCTCGCTATGAAAAGTTGAAGAATCGCAGCGCGAACCTTGAGCATGTGTTCGACCACGCGGTCACGATACTCTTGCTCGCCGATTAACGCAGCGGCGTCGTCGAAGATTCCAGGCCTACTCAGCTTTGCCTTAATAATCCTCAGCATCGGAAACGTCAGTGCTAGTGTCGGATAATTTTCCCCCTCTAGTATTGTGGTGACGGTTGCAATCGGATTCAGCAGTACAAGTAAACACTTCGCTGTGAACCACTCGGAGGGTTTTGGCCTCTTCTCAGAACTGAGATCCGGAAACTCTTTCTTGCCTTTGTCATTCAATAAGCGGCTGAAGAAGTGGTCCAAAGCAGGCTCCAGCTCAACCATTCGTGTCAACATATCGCGGCATGAGTTCCACCTGGTTGGGCAATCGGTGATCACTTGAAGTGGCTTCTGCTTCAACCATTTTTTCTGGATTTCATCAAGCCGATGGGTTCCTTTCGATGACTTGTGGAAGTAAACAGCCAAGTCGCGGAAACGCTGTACGATTTTACGAACTTCAGTAAGGGCTGACCTAGCGGTATTGGAGTCTGTCGGAAGTGCTTGTGAAAGAAACGTGTCGACCTCTTGTAGGGCCTCATCTTGAAGCCACTCGGGTGCTTCTGTGCCTGCTGGCTGATTTTCTTCAGATACTCCTTCAACTTTGGCCACTGGAGCATCGGGTGCGGAAGCAAACCGAGGATCGAGATCGGCGGTGGGATTTTGAGCTTGTGGTGTAGAACTACCAGCCCCAGCTTTTTTCTTTTGCTTAAGAAGAGCACCTCCAACTACCAAGTGCAATGAATGCGCAATGCATGACATGCTTCGCATGTCGAGAATTTCACTAGCACACACAGCATTGGCAGCTCCATCTCGAACAAGCATGACGCAATTTTCAGGTCGAAGTTCCCATCGATCCATTATTTTCTCGAGTCCTTTAGCAATTGCGACTCCCGTGTGTCGCCCAGGAAATGGCTCAACTTCAAGAGTCCAACTGGATACCGTAAAGTCTTCCTCCAGGTAATGAATCGTCAACGCCATAAAACTCTGCGCCCTTCGACTTGTCCACACATCCGTGGTCACACAGAAATATAGGCAGTGAGAATGGATGAGACTTTTCAACGTAGCTCGCAGCTCAGAGGCTAGGATGCTGATGTCAGCTCGGAGCTGAGTCGTTCCAGGCAATGCTGCACTCACTCCACCCAGGTCTTGAGTAACATATTCAAAAAGTTTGATCAGCCCTGGATCTTTCACAATAGTGAGAGGTCTCAAACTCTGGGCAATCTAACTAGCAAGTAATTTGTTCACCTGGGCTTGCTCTGCTTTGGTGACCGGGACTACCACTCGCCGTTTCGTGCCAGGTGCATCTGAGTAAGCATTTTCCAGCCTTCGTTTCGCTGCGGATTCTCGGGCAGCGTCTTCCTTCCACTTGACAAGATGATCCATGTGGAATTTTTCCATGTGCGCCTTGACCGCATTAGTGGAGCCATGACTGTAATTTACACGAGCTGTGCATTTTTTGCAATAAGCAAACGCGGCTTCTTTAGATGTTAGCTTCTTTTTCAGCATGCCCTCGAACTGTGGTTTCGGAACGAGACGAATAAAAGTCCACCGGGTCTTAAAGCGTTGGCGCTTCATCTTGTAGAGTACAGCAGGTCTTTCCATCTGTTCATGAGGAGTCTCGGCATGAACACGTCGAACTTGGGATCCCGGAGTGCTAGGTTGTCCTCGACCAACTGGTGTTTGCCTTGTCGCTGACGAACGGTCTCGTGACGTCACAAGTTGCCGCCAGCGACCTGTCGACGAAAATACTTGGGGTGTGGAAGGTGACAACTGCGCCGTTGACATTCTAGATGATACTTGGCTGAAAGCCGAGACGTTCATGCGTGATTCTGTTTGCGGACCCCGTCTTGGTGGCTGCTCGTACATTTGAGTTGTGGGGCGCTGGGGCGTTCTAAACCCGTACGCTGAAGGCTGGACCAGTTGGCCGGGATCTTCCGCCTTTGCTGTCAAGTTTCAGAATGAGCAATGCTCAGACATTTGCCAGTATGTTCATTGAGCATAATGGTAAATGTCACCTTCCCAAATTAAGAGGGGTTGTTTGATCAAACTTGTAATTACTATTAAAATATGCACTTATTGTGGGACAGGAAGAGTGGACAAAAAGGTTTAGTAAACCTCTAGACTGTCTTCAACGTCAACATCAACGCTGAGGTTAGAAACAGTTAAAGTGAGGTTAAGACCTTAACGTTGGAACCCCTAATATCCAGACGAGCAAAATGGAGGTATTGCACAGTAAAGACCACTCTACGACACGCCCAAAATGAGTACAAGTGTACACGACTACTTCATGTATGGCATTTTGTTACGTTCAGTACGTTGCCGATGTTACACACCATTGCATATGACTTTCGTGGGATTAGAATACAATCAGATGATGTCGGAACTCCCCCACTTCAGCCCAGGGCGAGCTTACTCACTACTCTACTGTGTGCTATTCACGGTTAACCATTTGCACAACAAAAGAACAAGCCAAACGCAGCAAACCATGCGAACCTACTTCATCCTGCTACTAGTGGTCGCCATCGTTCTCGTCTGCATCAACACTGCCTCGGGTACTGCCATCAACCTGCGAGCTGTCCATGAGGAAGTGAAAACCGACAGTGGACGAGTCCTCCTCGCAGATGCAAAGACCTCTACAGACGACGAAGCGAGAGCAGTCCTGAATGGAATCAAGAAGCTGGGCAACTGGGTTAGCAACAAGATGCTTCTAGCAAACCTGAGGATGCAGGCATCATACGTGTACTCCGAAAGGATTACCCGGGATATTATGGCTAAGGGTATCGATTCCGACAAGCTCTTCGAGTTGCTGAAGCTTAGCAACAAAAATAAACGATGGAGCCCAAGATCTGGCAACAAACCCAGGTACACACTGTGGATGAATTACAAGGAAGGGTACGAGGCGCTCAATTCCAATTGGAAAAGCAAGTTGCCCCCGATCAGTGACTTGTAAGGTGCTCGTGTAAGTAGATCGCAACAATAGCAAGATCATTCTTTGACGTTTACAAGGCGGTTTACTTTATACTAAGCAGGCTGTAGACCAGCACGCTTGGAAGACAGTGTGGGGTTATTATATCTCTTTTTCAAAGATTACAGCATTGCTTCAGTCTTGGAAATTAGTATTTTCAGCATCGATTTCCGTGCATCGACTCCCGTCTCAATGTCTGACATGGTAATGATTGTTGGTATTTTCTATCGGCCACCTTGACATTTTCACTTTTGTTAGCAATACATGAGAGAATGGAGGTCGTCTGCTCTTGTGTAGAATTCCAAAGTGACAAGCTGGACCGTGAAGCGCGCATACGGACGTATGCAAAGAACGTCGCTCGCCACTGATATATTTTCGCTCCTCGATAGCCACGTAAATTGTATTCATTTAGTGCAAACAATCGCCATATCTGCAACGAAAGAAGCCATGATCACAAACATACAGCAGCAACGGCACTGCAAACGTTGTCCACTGAAGCGACTTGGTTGTGCTGTGGCCTCCAGAACGCTCGTACCATGATCGATCGTTGAGTGTATCGAACATCAAAGTGCAGGAGCAAAATACGTCGTGGCACACTACATCTCCCCGGAATCCGAGACTTAGCGCACGCTGGTAGTACAGTTAAGAGTCGCGTAGACCATGATCAGATCCTGGAAGTATATGACTCGGTAGGTGGAGAAGACGAGTAGTACGAAGGTGTAGGCGAGCGCCCATCCAATTCATGAGCAGACCCACAACTCGCATGCTTCAAGCGCTGAAAAGCTTTTGAAGTTGTAATTTTCCGCCAAATCCAAGAAGTTGCTTTGAGCACCAGGCGATATTTGATCTGAATCAGTGAACCGAGCGATCCTGTAAAACGGAACGCCTGAAAGTACTGCTACAGGGATCATGCTGGCTCCGCTGAAGATCTCCAAATGTTCAAGTGCTGAAGCAACAGGAAGCTTTACCAGGAATGAGTGAACACAGAACAGCGAAACCAATCAATACCCCTTGAAAGAATAATACTTCATAATATGATAATATCATATTTTGAAATATGATTTACTTAGAAGCAGTAAACTGGAAGCCAGCAAGACTGGACCCAAAAGACACCAGCAAAAAGCCATCGATTAAGTGGCTCACTAGCGATCCTGTTTTCAACACCGGCATTTTGAAAGACCGAAACATACCGTGAGATAGTGTGGTGCCCCGTTGGCTCTCAGATAGTTGCCGTTGTTCTTCATTCATTTCGAGAAAGCCCGCCTGCTTTTTCCCATACTTACTACGTAGTATTTCCTTTTTCTTCAACTTGAAACCTTCAAGGATAAAGTACTTTATAATTCTATTCACTGGGTGTACCTTGACTCTTCGTTCTACTAAATCAACATTCCGCAGCAAGTAAGCACTTTCCCTCCCAGCGCTTCGTGTAGTACGAGTTGATACGACGCCCAGCGTCACGCCAACTAATCCAGTCTGCACGTTCCTCTTCCGTAAGAGTAGGTAGTAGATCGTTCTTCATATCATGATCCGTGTCCGGATTATGCAGTAACATCGAGTCCGTCACCTTGTCGTACCGCAGTCGCTCATGTCCACGCACAACCGACATCTTCCGCGTGGGGTTGTTGCTGTACACAACCCGTTTACCGAATTTAATCTTACGCTTAAGTGACCGACCCACGCCGTCTTGCTCGAATCCTCCCTCCGGTACTCCGGTAATATCCGCCAGTGTGTTCAAGATATCATACTGCTCCATGGCGTCGTCCATGACCATCCCCACAGCGTCACCCAGTCGCCCTTCAGCGACAATAGCGCCAGCCACTCGAGTCGCAGAGACATCTCGGTCTTCAGGGACATCGTTGCCAAACTCTGGTCCTTGACCATGATCGCCGGAGATAACCACAATCGTATCATTGAGAATACCTGCTTCAGCCATTCGATCCATGAATTTACCGAATTCCATGTCGGTAAAATACCGGATTTCCAGGTAATTTTTGATGTTGTCCGCGTACTTTTGCCCTTTATACAATGCCGAAAAATCGGGTTTCTTCGACTCGTCGTACCATTTGGGTCGCTGTACGTAGTTGACGTGACTCGAAATTGTATAGTGCGTAAGGAACAGCGGCTTCTTTGGTTCTCCGTTCGCTACTCGTTCAGCTTGAGCCTTGGTCTTGTTCACGAATAAATCGCCGAGAAGCTGGAAACTTAAGTCATCGTGCACACCCCAGTTGAGTCCTCGGTGTTCAGGTCCTTTCCAGTCACCAGGTTTGATGCCCAAGTCGCTTTGGGCAAGTTTCATCATCTCGTTACGACTCCACACAGTGTCAAAGCCATGAGCTGGGAGGAAAGCGTCCCAACTGTCATAGTTCGTTCTACATCCAGTCGTGAAGAATGTTTCGTACCCTTTAGCACTAAAGAGCTGCGGTAAACCAGACAAATTGGTCTCATGTTGACCTCCAGTCATACCGGACTTGGTCACGTGATCATATGGAAGTTGTGCGAACAACAAACTCTCCACCGATCGACTAGTGCGCCAACTGGACCAGTAGTTCCGTAGAGCGATACCACGCTTCGCCCACTTGTCAAAATTCGGGGTGATGGTCATATCGCTGTCTTTGAAAAGGTTGGACGGATCTTCGTCCCCTACGAGGTAGTGCGAGTCGTGGTACCGGAAGGATTCGATCACCAGAAGTAGAACATTCGGAGGATTTTTCGGGTTAACCTTGACGTCAAACGCGAGATCTCCTTGGAACCCGGTAGTACGTCGATAAAGTGTGTCATTCCCGAACAATTCGTGGTTCTCCGTTGCGTGATGAATGTACGTCTCGACCCAAGGAAGGTCCTTTTCGTCGACTGCAGAGGTACTACCGTCAACATCTGGTTGGAAGGCATGGCCAAGCATCTCGTTGAGTGTCGTGTTCAATGCTGAGTAGGCGACGAGAGGAGAACACGCACAACTCACTGCGATGATGAGCATGGGGAAGAGAATCAGACCGACAAGAGCGATGAGACTCTGCTGAAGATACTGGCGCTTGTCCACTCGATTGGTGTCCTCTTTCTCTACCGGTAAACATTGAGAGGTGTCGTTGTCGTCATCCGATGCAGCGGTGGAACATTCCGAGGCGTCGATATCAACTGTCACGTATCGAGAGCTCTTGGTACCTTTGTCGTCAACTTTTTCAGTTAGTGTCGATACTTCAGCGTCTTCTGTAACTGGACTGGATTCTTGAACTTTTGGTTCGTTAGAGTTGAGTTGGTTCTTGGTACTACCAGTCAAACGCAAGATATCGTAAGCGTATGAAGAACTTAGAGGCAAAGCGATCTGAGTCGGATTCCACCTTGCAAGATCTGCCCATGAAGCTCTTGTACGCACAAAGGCGAAGAACGTCGCTGCTAGTACTAGAGCTGTGGCATTCACACACGCGTCCGTAATCTCCTCGGTCGAAACTTCGAAAGAGCTGGCGTTGTCTTTCTCCTGAATAGCCATGACGATGATGTCGAAGGTGAAGCGCATGTCCCGCAGACGCACGATGAGTACATCAGCTACTACTGGGATAGTGAAGGCCACGAAGAGTAGCCACGATACAGAGAAGACAGCCATCTTCCCAGCGACTCGAATGGCTACTCCTTCACCCGTGAATCGTTTGGCTACAATAGGCTTGAGCTTGTCGAACAACCACAGAGTGCACGCAAAGTACGTGACGCAGACGAAGTCCTCCAAGAACCCCAGTATTAAGACTCCAAGCACCACAGCCAGAGTGCCGTCCTCAGCACTAGCGTACATGGAAATCAGAGCGCTGAGCCCAATGCACCGGTACACGAACAGAAAAAATAGCGTGAAGCTGTAGACGAAAGCCCATCCCAGCCACGGGTAATCCCGTTCGACGATAGTTTGTAGTAGTGCTCTCAGCCGACTCCATTGCGGTGCCTTGGACGTAACGTTGGAGTCTGCGGTAACGTCATCCGGAGCTGCGGTCGGTAGAGTGTCTCGAGTTGACGTGGGCTTATTGTGCGCCATCGTAACCTTCACCGTGTTGCTCGAAGCCGGTTTGCTCGGTGGGGCCCCAAACAAGGACAACCGCACAATGACGTAGCCGCAGCGAAATGGAGAGTGAAGTGCACCCACAGTCGTTGAGTCGACGAGAAAGGTTTCCGATGGTGAGCAGCTCCTGGAGATAACTCCTCGGAATTGATAAATTTTGAGCCAGGACATTGGTGCCGTCTATCCCTTTGATCTTTGCCCGGCCTGCTGGTGTTTACTCCACACCATAGGCAGTCGATGGCACGCATACCGTTTGCGGCGAGGAATTACCATAAATCAGTGAAAACTACTGAGATCGGTCAAAAGGATTGCGAATACATAGTAATCCGCAAATCATCATTTCTTGTAAAGATGTGAATATTACTGATGCGGGCGACGAAAATTAGTAATACAGCGGATATTTCCGCCAGAGCGCGTGAATACTACTTTACTTTCAGAACCCAACACAAAAGCCATTTAAACATGTAGCGCGTTAAAATTCTAGCATACGACACTTTCACCTAGCGTGCTTCTGCCATGGGTTGTGTTCCTGTCGAGTATATAATGTGCAGCTGTACGGTAGATACTACATGTAAACTAGCATATCGGTTTGGCCTCAGCAAAACTGATACGCCGTTTTTCTTGACATGATTTGAAAAGCACTGACGTCAGTACTAATATGTCCTAAAGTATTCATTCAGCGTTTCGTGCCTCACAAAATTGCACTTCTCACTCTAAACCTAAATCACAAGCTAGCTTAACAGCTACTACAGCAACTGCGTTAACTCACCCCGGTGTATCTTTATAACTTATGTAGAAATGCGTCCGAATTACTGGACGATTAACTGCCTCGTATTTCGGTTTCCTGCCTGTAGCATCCATGACTCTTTGGTCACTACATTTAGTCATTAGTTGGCGTTCATTTCCCTGGTAGTAGGAGGCAATGGCCTCGAGTGCAACAATAAAAACATATATGGAGCACACGGACATGCAAATACCAAGGATCTCGTGAAGGCGATAGAATGTCACTACAAGAACCCTCGATTTGTACAAGTTGTGTAGTTTCATATATGATCTACCGGTGGTAATAGTATGTAATTGCTTCGCACTTGGATACATGTATGAGCTAACCCATCATCTGCACTGTGGCCTAAAAGCTGAGTACTGTAGTAGTAATTGAAAATCAGAAAAAGGCTCTGGTTTTGACATATCTTAGTGCTTTTCACTGAATTATGGTAATTCCTCCGTATGTGGGATACGGCACGTGGCATACGATACACAGCGAGGTGTCTTACGACCACACGTTTGCGTTCCTCGAACACCAAATGTTGCTTCTGCGCGCTACCCTGCAGGCGCAGACAACCGGTTTTGAACCTATTGCGCGGCACACTTTGCAGTGCAAAGTCATCAGAGAGAGAGAGAGGCACAACCATACCACCCCCTTCCACTGGAAAGCTTCCAGTGGCAGCGGATGGTTGTGCAGCTGCATGATGCAGCCTGCATGGCAACTTCAGCTGGAATTGTAGACAGTCACTTTACATGGGGGGAGTGACAGTTGTGCAAGGTCGCGGCTTTTTGTGATGCTACGCCGACGGCAAGCTCGGTCACCATCACATGAGGATGACAAAGAAATAACCTCGACTCACGTGTAAGAGGTGTTGCATATCAAGAGGTGTGCCCCCAACTGATTCAGCAACGCTGTGCTTTTGGCCCAGTATTTGCTGCGGTAGAAGGCTGCATGAAGTAAAACGCCCAAACTTGGCTTTACAGCCTCAACAAGCACTCTCTCCGCATTCTCAAATTATAAGATTGATCAAGTTGACCAATACAACTACAGCGTAGACCAATAAAGCAATCATTAGCATCACTTAGAGCAATCATTATTTCCACATTTGAAATCGTAGGCCCAAGAAGTAATAGCAATCGTGATTATGAACACCAAATGCCTCAATTGCATGTACTTGTAAACAACAGTAGGAAGATGCAGGCACGATTCTTCAAGAAGAGCACTTAAAAAAAACTAGGTATTACTTGTTTTAAGGGAAATAACTCTAGCTCTAGCATTCCCCGTCGAGTAAACACTTTTTGTCCCAGCGCTTCGTGTAGTAGGCATTGATACGGCGACCATTGTCGCGTTTCGCTCTCCAGTCCACCTTGTCCTTGAGACTAAGAGTGGGGAACTGATCCTTCTCCATTTCATGATCCGTGTCAGCATTGTGCAGTAAAACGGAGCTTGAATAGCGATCATACCGTAACCGCTCGTGACCTCTTACAACCGACATCTTACGACTCGGATTGTTACTGTATACCGCACGCTCTCCAAACGTGACGTTGCGTTTAAGTGAGCGTCCAATTCCGTCTTGTAAGAACCCCCCTTCGGGGACACCAGTGATATCTGCCAGTGTATTGAGCATGTCATACTGCTCCACTGCGTCCTCTATCATGAGCCCCACAGAGTCACCCAGTCGTCCTTCCGCGATAATGGTCCCAGCGACTCGTGTAGCCGACAACTCACGAGCCTCGGGCACATCAAGACCGTCTTCAGGTCCCTGACCGTGATCTCCTACGATGACTACAATAGTATCGTCGAGGATCCCCTTATCAGCCATACGGTCTAGAAATTTACCAAGTTGCATGTCTGTAAAATACCGCATCTCCAAGTACGCCTTGACGACGTCAGCGTACTCTTCATCTTGGTAAAGTGTCGAAAAATCGGGTTTCATAGCTTTAGCGTACCACGTTGGGTGGTCTTTAAATGGGGTGTGACTAGAGATAGTGTAATGGTTCACAAAAAGTGGCTTCTTGCTCTCCCCTCGAGCCACTCGTTCAGTTTGTTCGACTGTCTTGTTGATGAGTAGATCACCGAGTAGTTGGAAGCTCAAATCGTCGTGTACGCCCCAGCCAAAGGCTCGATGGGCGTCTCCATACCATTCATCAGACGAGATGTTAAGGTATCCTTCTGCTAGCTCCATCATCTCGTCTCGACTCCAAACAGTATCGAAGCCATGAGAAGGCAGAAAAGTGTCCCAATCATCGTAGTCCGTCTTGCATCCAGTAGTGAAGAAAGGTTCGTACCCTTTAGCCTTGAAAAATTGCGGTAGACCAGAGAGTTCGACGTCCTCTTTACCTCCAGTCATACCAGAGTCAGCCACACTGTCATAAGGGAGCTGGGCGAACAATAAACTCTCCACTGAACGGCTAGTACGCCAACTTGACCACATATTACTGAACGACACACCACGTTTCGCCCACCTATCGAAGTTTGGAGTGACGGTGATGTTGGTTCCCTTGAACAAGTTGGACGGATCGTCGCCTACCAGGTAGTGGGAGTCGTGGAATCGGAACGACTCTACCACGATAAGAACAACGTTAGGAGGGTTTTCGTTAGAGACATTCACGTCAAAGGCGAGGTCTCCGTGGAAACCGGTAGTGCGTCGGTAGAGCGAATCATCTTGGAAGAGAGTGTAGTTCTCTGTGGCAGAGTGAATATAGATCTTGGCATTCTCAATAGTCCCGTCAGCAACTGAAGGCGTGAAGCCTTGAGTGGTAGCGTCGATTCCACGAACAAATAGCTCATTGAGTGTCGCGTTGAGGCCTGAATAAGCCACAAGTGATGAACATGCACGACTTACAGCGAGTACAATCACTGGCAAAACAATGAGACCGAAAACCAACAGCACACCTAAAGCACAGAGTTTGAAGAGCGTCAACCGATCGAATCGAGGGTTCTCCGAAGGTAATGACGTGTCGGTGGACGCATCGCTACTAGGTGACGTCGAAACCAGGTACTGCGTATTCTCTCCAGCTTCAAGAACCGCCTCATCTCGACTCTCCTTCGTCTTCTGTAAAGAACCATCGTCGCACTTCTCAGCCCCACAATTCCGTTGATGTACTAGATCTACCAGCGCAAACGCAGGATTCCAACGCGATAGATCCGCCCAATCCGCCCAAGCACGGACAATCGCGAAGAGCGTCGCTGCGATCACCATTCCGGTTACATTCACGTACGCCTCATTCATCTCTGATTGAGAAATTGATGCGCTGCTGGCGTTATCTTTCTCGTGGATTGCCATCGCAACCAATTCGAATGTGAATCGCATACCGCGAAGCCGTACGATGAGCAGATCGGCGACGAATGGGCCGGTCATGGCGACGAAGAGGACCCACGATACCAGAAAAGTCGAGACTTTATCACAAATCTGTGACGCTGTCGGCATTTGGTCACCGACGCGTTCGCCGATCATAAGCTTGACCGTGTCGAATACCCAAAGAGCACACACGAAGAACGTCGCACACACTAAATCTTCGAGGAATCCGAGAGCCAACGCAGCAGCTTCGACTCCGAAAGTGCAGTCCTTTTCAGTCCCGTACATGAGGATTAAGGGCTTGAGACCGATGCACCGGTAGATGAAGAAGAAGAGCAGCACAAACACGTAGACGAACACCCAGCCGAACCATCGTCGCGTCCATAGTGAGAAATCTTTGATGACTTGAATCATCCCGAAACGTCCTTTGGTCTTGGAGGTATCTGATGCTGATGGTCTCTCTTCGAGCACCACCATGTCAGGTGAACTGTGCATGTGGGTCTATGTGGGTCGAGGAAAATCTATCACTGTGTGAGAAGGTTGCTCGCGTGTCGGACCAGGGGTCGAGGAAAGACGCCGGACGTTTCGACTCGACGAGGAAGACCAAGTCACCAACTTTCTGAGCACATCTGGTTGCACGAACTGATTTCCCGTTAATGATTTTTTTTAAAGAGGTTAGTGATGGGTACACACTTCTATTAATAACCTCAAACCGTTACATAACTGGCCAAATGCAACCGAAGTTGTATTTGTCGCGTTCACGACAATCTAATTGGCTTCTCAGTCGATTTGTTCGCCGTACCGACCCATTTAAGGATAATACACTGCAGAATGTATCAGTATGAAATGTAAAATCAGTTGCACACAGAGTTTGCCTTTTCACCGACCTTTGCAACCTGACTACCATACAAAAAAC